CAATATACCTGTAGCGTAGCTTTAGCATTCTATCCATCCATTACAGCTTATAAACGTCCATTATTGAACATAGGCCTGCCATAGAAGGCCTCATAGGAAGGATTTTGCCATTGTTGCCACTTGCCTCCTGCCGCTTGCCATACGGGTCAGCAATCGCAGTTTTTTATTATATTAAGTTGTTATCAGGAAAGTGCTGCTGTCCTTTTCCTGTTTTAGTTTTTCTCTGTCGCCTCTTACAACTATGAATTCATACAATTCATACACCGACTCTGCCTCATGTTATTTAACATTTTTTAGATATCGAATAAATTTAGTCCCATACATGCTTTTGGTGTGATACTAACGCACCTCACACGGCAACAATCCAAACAGACGTCTGATAAAACGCACGTTTGGGAAACCGTTGCGCGCGATATCGCTGACCTTGCGTAGACGGTAACACCGTATTTGTTCACTTGATAACTATTGCGTTTCTAGCGTTCTCAACTCTTTATGACCTGAACGTACACAATCGATGTATTCTATCACATACAAGCGTACAGCGTTTTTGAACGTGGTAGGGCTACGTTTTTGAACGTGGTAGGGCGGGTATATTATGGTTGTAGCACGAATGGGCCTGCTCGACCGGGGTAGGACCAGGCTCTCACCTTTGATTATATACTTGATATAATCAAAGGCTCACACAGGATACCAGCGTATAATAGCAGCTTAATGCTGCTATGTTTCGTATGGTGAGTCGTAGAGAACCGGAGATTCTTTTATTACTTTTTACTCGAAACGAGGCATTCTATCTTAGTCCTCAAGAGTGACAACGCATCCGCATTTTGATTCTTAATCGCGGATAAATGTAGAATTCTATGGGTCACAGTATCCACTTACCATCAGGTGGACTGTGTGCTCGTTTGTCACCCATATTCTATAAAAGAAAGAAAAACAGTAAACATCATATTTACAGCCCATCACTAGTCACTGCTTTGACTAAACTGTGTGCTACTGATAAGCCACTTGCATGCTATGGCTCCCTGCCTTGCAAGTTTGATGAGAGCGAACCATCTCATGGTGGGCGCGCATGTTTTATTCAATAAGACAGCAGAAAGCAGAAAGGTGTACGCAGAGCTTTGCAAAAACTAATAGTGAACAAGCCTAGTGAACCTAATGGTATTTATGCAAGGGTACTAGAGCTTGTGCGCCTGAGTTGTCTACTGTTCTGACGCGCCTGTACCGCCTCTCTCTCAAAACTCGAACGGTGCCAAAATTTTGGAAGCTTGCCAATGTGCAACCAGTATTTACCCAAGAAAGGTAGTCATTACGATCTCTGTAGTTATCGACACATTGTGTACAACGGAAATTATTATTTGTGCTGTGAGAATTAATAAACCTGTGAAATACTTCATCTTTAGTGCTCGGGGGTCACAAATAATTTCTGACCGTTTTTTGTTTTAAGTCGCTTTCAGCTTGCGGATTGTTCAAAAGTTATTAACGAAAACAAACCGAATTATAACCGAAGTCGTAAATTACGCTATTGGAGTGGTCGAACAACTTTAAATATAATATAGAATTATAGATCAAGCTCTGTACTATAAATTAGTGGCCGCCCCTCGGGCTTAAACATCTCGCCCGGCGGGCGGCGGCGCGGCGGAAGATCTCCCCTTTTCTTTCCAAGACTATAATAGCCGAAATCCTAGACCTAGTGTTATTTCACGTTTCTGTTAGGTAGTAAGCTATTTTATATTATATAGTACGTAATAGAAATACATTTGCAGCTTATTTTTTATGTACCCCACCTGGGTAAAAAGCCTTCTCTGATTTCTGAAAATTGAAATCAACAATTTAATTGGTAGGAATCGAACCTGGGTTTCTCGCATAGTGTGAAATTAACGACGAGTACCCAACCTCTGAGTTACCATGGTTATCAAGAACGGTCTGAGAATAATATATGACTTTATCTAACATTATTATAATATACATATTTGTGGAAAATAAACATCCTAATTTTCAATTAAAATTTTAAATATTAGGGCCATCTAGCAATTAGTGCGCTGCGTTGTTCCAGTGCGTATTGAAATATATTCCTCAAATATATTTGAGGATATTTGAGGAATATATTTCAATGGAGAATAGTCCTCGAAGTATATTATTTTCCTTACGTGCAGGTTGTGCCCATGTTTTTTTTTTTGAACCACCAAAACATGATAACCCAACACTTAAAATTGCAAATCATAATAACAATTTCCTTGGTACCGGCGGGGATCAGACCAAATTGCTCGCATATTAATAAAATTAGGTTAATTACGTTGTCTAAAAATAGAATGTCTAGTCGGTATTTTTACTCATATGTGGTATCGCATACGTGAACATCTTCAATCAGATTCGCTCCTTTGATTAGCAACAATTGCATGAGATCACACTCGAGCGCAATACACCTACAATGTTGATTCACCTCTGCTTGCCGCCTTTTTAAAACTAAATAAATATATTTATTTCAAAATTCTCTGGAAAATTTTCATGATTGTTTCCCACCAACATTCCATATTTTAATTATGAATTGATTCATTCCCCAAAAGCTAGGTATTTCTCAAGTCCTGGGGATAGGGAGAGACAGTAGTTTTTTCTTTTTCCGATTTTTTATGGTCTCACCTTAACACAACACGATAATTGAATAAAACTATTTATACGGATTTTATCGCGTTTAGTTAACTTATTTTGAATTCTCGACGTTTCAACATGGGAGGGACTGAGACGTTTGACGTCCTAATGTCCATAACCTTCTGTTTTTGAATATTTTTGTTCCGATCTACGCCGAACGAGCTTACTGTATTTTATTGTATGCTTGGTTTTTGATTTAATTTTATTAATTATAGGATCCCAAGCCGATCGCAGCACCCATTCATCTTCTCTTTTGAAATTAGGATGTTTTTTAATTTAAATAGCCTCGCGTGTCACCTTTGGTGGGAATGCGTGTTTTTAGCGAGGATTTGTGCTTTATCAAATTTGATGTAATAGTGGGTACGATCTTGAGCATGTTCACAGATTACAGACTTCCCGGAACGTTGATGCTTCACATCAGCTAGACTTGAGGATTTTTATAGATCTTTTTGTTTATCCTATGTAAGAGAGACCACATTTACAATCAAGCTTGTACACTCCTGCATCTTGTAAAGAAATATTACACTTGATAGATGCTAAAAATTGACTAATCTCTTTCGGCGGCTTGTAGTATGTTTTAATGGAAGCTCACTTCAATATTTAGCCAACCTTGTCTGTGACTCCTCTGAAATGTGGTAGTACAGCAGGCACACGCTCGACTGTGACCGGTTTCACTCGTGACGTGCGGAAGCTACGGCGACCAGATGTTTTCTGTCACAGATCCCTTGTGCTCTCTGAAACAAAGATTCACTCACGGTAGCTAACTGTGATGCTGATGGATGATGGTGAGATTCACCATTTATATATCAGTTGGTATGGATGTTTTTCCTATACACAGAGTGACCAATAGTGTTATCAGGATTTCGGATGACTAAAACATCTAGGAAAGCTAAAGAATTATTTACCTCTAGCTCCATTGTGAATGATATTTTAAAGTTTATGGAGTTAAGGTGGCCTAAAAATGCAGTTACTTAGTCAGATGGTAAAATTTGAAAGCAGTAAGAAGGGCTTTCTCCTCAAAGTCCTCCATGAATAAGTTGCCCATCGCCACACCGTCTATTTTCATGTGAGGCAGTGTTCGAGTAATATTGCATATTCTTTAGGCATGTTGTTTTCTTCTAGCTTCCTGGTTACAATTGAGATGCAGTCTTTAGTAGGTAGGCATATGAATAGTGTCGGAACATCAAAAATAGTTTCATTGTCAGCGAGATGTAGGTCTTACTTCACAATGTCGAGCGACATTTCGCTGGCTCATTCTAGTTTGTAATAACTACTAATGTTACGATTCGAACAACTTCTGCTCTGCGTATATCCATATTTATCAGTGAAAAGGAAGTGGGAGGCATTGAACTTAAATCAGTAATACGAATTTAATAATAGTTTTATATAGCGTCCTAAGAGTGAGTTCACACGGCGCGTTGCGTTGCGTTGCGTCGTCGCCACACTGGCGCTGCATCACATGTACATGTTGCCACAACGCAGTCGTAACGTTCCGTCGTCGCAGCGGCGACGTACAGTTGCGGTGAACATTTCTTAAAAACATCGCAGTCTATTCGGAAACATTGATCGAAAAAGACATCTGATATTGTTTATGTCACTACGTCACCGCCGAAATCGACGCAAAATCACAAGACAGTATTGGATCTGTCCCTTAATGATGGACAGTTTTTTTGTTCCAATATCATAAGTTGCTGTTGGACGAAAAGAATTTTTATAATTACTTTAGAATGAGTGTGTCCAGCTTCAAATATTTATTGAAGTCCTTGGAGCCACACATACGGAAAAACTATACTAATAAGAGGAATCCCGTTTTTATTTATCAGACATGCCGGGTTCCTCACGATGTTTTCCATTACCACCGGGCACCTGGTAAATCAGCACTTCAAATTGCAATTAACCGTTTCATTGGTGCCAGCGGGGATCGAACCCGAGTTGCTCGCGTACTGTGAAATTTAGAACGAGCGCCAAGCCCCTGGACTACCACGGCTCCATACTATTAAGTTGACTTTTGAATTCGTCTACTATTCATTTGAGATTATTTTATTATTTTTAGTCTTGGACTTGGACTTTCACTTTTTATTACAAGTTTAATTTTGTTCCTTCTTTTTTTGACGAGAAATTCTAAAACGCTTGAGGGTATTGCAATTTGTAAGTGTTCTATATTATGAAATATGCTTACACTTGCGGACAATATAAATTATATAGTCTACTCGTCGGAATTTCTACTATCTTCTTGTACCCGATAGCCAAGTCTACGATGCTGTGACGACCGAGTACAGTCCAGATGGAGTATCATATATCTAATTTTTTGTAGTTTCCATACATTAATATTCCGAACCACGTACAATTTCCAGAATTGCACGCGGCTGCGAAAGAAACGGTGACTCTTGCGGAGCAGCGCTTCGTGAGCAAGCAGGACGAGTGGCAGTTCGACAGCAACTGGCAGGAGGTTCTCAACCATGCCATCATCAAGGTGAGAAACACATTGGGACGACAGTGTAACTAGTCTTACCAGAAATATTTAAACAGAAATGGATTTTGTGCCTAGGATTTCCCTGTATTGTGGAGGCAGTTTACATACATACATTTTACAAGGACAAACATACACATAGACCTGAAATAATTATTTGGTTATGATACAAAAACCTGTGTCACAGAATAAATGAATAAATAGTAGTACTACGTACAGAAGTTGCAGTTCTTTGATGCTGACGGCTTGCCGACGTTTAATAGCCTACATAATTATTATTAATTAAGTAAACCGCGCTCGCAAGCTAAATAAAACTTTATCGCTGCGCGAGAGTGTCCGTATTACTTTGCAATTTTTCCCCTTCCTACGTTACGGAGGACTTTCCGTTGTTACTAAGGGATGTCAATAAAGAGTAACAAGTTCCGTTGTTACTAAGGGATGTCAATAAAGAGTAACAAAATACATTGCGAATTGTTAATTAATGATATACCTATTCTGACTAAGATCGACTGACTATTTTCGCACCTATGTGAGTTCTGCGACGCCTAACGCATGCAACTTGCAAGGCCATTCGTCGGGGAACGCGATGCTTGTCTCGGAAGAAAAAGGTAGATAGTGAAAACAACAAATAAACTTGAACTACGATTCCTAACAGAATTGTAATCGTATTTACTTAGTTAAAATTTTGTTAGTAAACAAAGTTTTAATTTCAGTGTTTTGTGTTATTATAACTTAAAATATTTTAAATACAAAAGACAAGTATAGGTATGTAAGTAGATATGTACTTGGATAGTGAAGTAAATTTCACCTAAATTTTGTAATAAAGGTCGTAGGTATTAGATAAATCGTTACTTATTTTTTTGCTATGAGTACCTATCTAACAATAAAATTAAATAAATTCACGTTTCATAACTTCCTACTAAATTCCTTCGATAACTTAAAGAATGATTTATCTGAAACATTTTGTTGGTCATTTAGCGTCTATCCACGCAACAAATATAGTAGGAACGACGTTTTGCCATTAAAATTTATCAAATAGGTAATATACCTAATATATAAAAAATTTAAATTACATTAAAACTTTTTAACTATTTTATCTTACAATTAAATATACTAAACACTAAACAAAAACTATTTCAACAAGTATTTACAAAAAATTATTTACGTAAACAGCGTTAAAAAACTTTAACATTCAATCGCCTACAACGCGCTAGCCCCGACTGCGTATTTCACCCATCACATTCATCATATGGGTGCGTCGCGATTGTAGGTAATTATTTCACGCAGGCCTCCCTTAACATGTGTGATATTAATCACAGTTGTCACGCTTGACAAGCGACTTGGCAACCGCAGGTTATTTTATTCACCCGTGTGAGGTTATCTATGGGGGAGGTCTAGCAGTAGGTTCAGCAGTAGCAGAGTTGCCGTGTATACAGATTTCCCCGTATTTATACAGATTTTCGGTGTGTTATACAGATTAACACTGGATACAGATTTTCTAACTCTATTGATTAAATTACCATAATATTCAACTTAAAAATATCTCATGTAAGTGAATTTTAATTCTTTTGAAAAATAAATATCTCAAACCACAAACCAGAACGAAACAAAATATATGACTAAAATAGACACCGGGTTACACATCATTGCATGATTCTATTCTTTATGGTTAATTTATTTTTTTCACAGCGTAATTAGTATGGCAGCATTACAAGTGTACCTATTAAAAATATGTATATATAAAATATTTACGACTGAAAATAATAAAGTAATTATTAGTTCATTTTTTGCATTTGTTATAAAACTTTTAGCGTATATTTTTATTTCATAATGATAATCAAATCTTGTCACGTTAGTAGTTATTCCTTGTTTTTCAAAAGAAGCAATGATGATGATGATCAATAATTCTATTTTAGTTTATTTCATTATACAGATTTTAACTTTAATTATCATAGAGATTTAATGCAGATTTTAGCAGTTTCTACTTCAGATAAAAGGTTCAAGGCATCTGGCAACACTGACACTGAGCTGAATTTACTGCGTTTTGTGTTTGGATAATGTTTTACTTAGATAGGTCATCCCTCAGAATTTTAGCTCGAATTATATTAGCTGAATTATTAGCTCGGTTTTTCCAGGCACTTCTAAATAATACCTATAGGATAGCTGAGAAACAATTCATGTTACTGCTCCGTATTTATTATATACGATAATTTTAAAGTTTGTTCTAAATATATTTTTTCAGGTTATGGACGCAGAGAAGAGAAAAGCTGAGAGTGGACGCGAGCACCAAAAGAAAGCTGCAGCGTACATCGCGGCAGAAAGAAAAGTAAAGAATTTAACCTTTCTTTCGTTTTTTTTCAAGGCATAGTATATATAAGGTATGTGACTAATATGGTCATCTTAAGCTTTGCCGTCCTATAAAACCAAAACTAGTAAAAAAAACACAAAGACGTATGCTATAACTATTATATTAAGAAAAAAATAGCAAAACAAGCTTTGGCAATAACTAGGAACACATCGAAAAATCTTCTTAAAAAAACTTACTATACTACACCAAACTAAAATTGACTAAAATATTTACTATAATGTCAACTGTCAAAATGGCGTCGATAAAGCATCGCCCTTTTGATCCTTTTTTATTTGATTGACCGGTGAAGAGCCATCGTATCACAAAGTCATCTATGAAAACGAGGTGTAGTTTTTGAGTTACAAAAAAGTGACCATATTACCCTCACGTACTATGGATACAAATTATAAGATTGTGCATAAAACAATTATAAATTCAAAAACATTTCTAAAAATAAAATATTTGAAATCAAAACTTGATAAGTTTGATTAAATTTATTATGATATTATACTTTTTCTTTCAGGTGGCACAACTGGAAGAAAACTTAAAACGCAGCATCATAAAGTCGCGCCTATACTTTGAGGAGAAGAAATTATGCGACGAACAATTGCAGACCCAAAATGAGAAGATTGAAAAACTGCAGCGTTTAATCTCCGACGCAAAATTCCGCTACTCAAAATCGCTTAAGGCACTGGAAGAGATATCTGAGGAAATACATAGACGTAGAGGGGAATATCCGCCAGGAAAGGATTCCATACCAGTTGGTCCTAGAGAGCCAGGAGTTGGGGCAGAACACGATCCAATACACGACGAAACGCAGTTGGCTGAAAAAGAATTTGAGAAAGACGATGAGCCTAGTTTACAAGAGCTTAGGAAGAGGGTGAGAGAGTTGGCTCTAAAACCAATAGACCGCAGTGACGTGGACACGGACGAGGCATGGGCACAAGAACTAAACGAGACAATAAACAAACTAGACCAGTTGTTGATGATAAAGGAAACTAATCAGCAGAAGAGGTCAAAGTTCACAGCGAGCTCGCCGAGAAATTTTAGCGCACCCACAACAAGCACAAACACAGCTCATAGAAACAGCCAACCGCCGAGTGACAGCTGGAAAACTGAGTCCAATTTGACCAGAACAAAGTCTAAAAGTCGCGATGTCGTGTTTGAAAGTGTAAACACGTCTATGAATAAGACAGAGAAGTCTAAAAGCATGATGTCGTTAGATGTCCTCGCATTAGCGAGAGATGCAAAGATTATGGACCGCGAGTCGTATTTAAAAGCGGTTATAGAGGACAAGTCACCCACGGGCACTTACACTGAAAGCAATTCTGACAGGAATGACAGCCCTGATGATATTTTAATGGTCGAGTGCGACTCCAGCGACTCCACACAAAATCCCGTGATTAGAATGACGAGCTCCACTATCACGGACAGTGATCACAGCTAAATTGATATCTCAATGGCTTTTCAACTCTAATTATCCAATAACTAAAACCATCCGTATACAATACGGTACATTAATTGTAATAAAGGATATTAAATGTTTCTGACAAAATGTAAGTTCATACTTTTAAAATTTGCTTTTGCGTGAGTGAGATAAAAATACACGTTTATTGTCAATTTTTATGGTTGGTATGAGATATGATAAATTTTGGTTGTGTGTGTTTAAATGACGTATTTTTGTAGTTTGTCACTTAACTTCTTAAATAAATCGGTTGTGTTTAAAACTATAAATTAAAATGTAATTTTTCTTAGTGACATATTTAAAATGATTCAACTTCAAAAAAGCTGATCGTAAAGAGATAAGTAAAAAGCATAGAACATAATGTAAAAAATAACTGTTACAGAAAACGCCTATATTTTTTGGGCTAACAAAAGTTTATTGAAATTGATTTAAATAAATTTAACTTAAAAACTTTGCTAATTATCACGAATAACGTTATTTACAATATTTAGAAACAAAGCAAAAAGTTATTCCATCAAGGTGTTTTAATAAAAAAAATCGTATAATGAAAAGTGGTAAATGTATGCTGTGAGCGATATCTTATTGAAAATGTTAGAATTAAGACATTGAACACGCCATATCAAACCACCGCCGGCTCACAAGTCGAAAGTATAAAAAATTTACTCTTATTAGTTTTATATTCTCAAACTGACTGTGTAAGCGACTGTGAAAGTGTGCAGTTCAATTTTCTGATTTTACGTCAAATTAGTTACAACTTCTTTATTGTAAAGCCAAGTTTTTTTGATACAATCAGAATAGTTGTAGATTAAAGGAACTAAAGAAAAAGGTGTTAAAAAGATGAAAGTAGGACCATTTCATAGCTTATATAAACAATTTATAGCTGAAAATCTGGCAATATTTGTCAACCTAGGAGCTGAGTTGTGGTAGAATAAGTAGAAGTGAGATTATATATTACCTACACTGTAACAGGCGATTTTTCACTGTAATTACTTTAAGATACATGTATTAATAAACTCGTATACTTACTATAATTGTAATACAATTAATACAATAGTCCAAGATGTCAATATACAATTGAAAGGCTTGTACGTATTCAAAAATAACAAGCCGGTAAATATGAAGGCAGGATCAGTATAAAATCACTAAAAAGAAACTGTGGAAACGAAATGGTTAAACGACTAACGAAAGTTAAAACAACGATGACTGAGTGAATATTAGGTACGTCGATCTGAGATCGATTACTGATGATATTTTCTATTTTTATTATTATTTTGCAAATATATTTGCAATTCTTTTTTATCTCATTTTTATTTAATATAAAATAGGTAGTAAGTTTATTTTCTAACTTATTTCTTATTTTGTATGTTTTTCGAGTTCTAGATTGTGAATCTTGTTTTTTTTTTTTGTATTTTACTTTAGAAAAATATAGATAATTTTTTAAAGTATAAACCAATTTGTTAACTTCAGGCCCAAAAATCCCATTATCTTTTACATTATTAACATCATTACCTTCTTTGCTTCATTTTTAATAATGTTTCATTCTCCGTTTAAGTCTTCAAAAGAAATACCTTTAAAGGTATTGGAATTAATTTCATATAGTTCACCAAAACTTGGCCATGTAACCAAAATTTTAGTTTAACTTGCCTTTTTCATGACTAATTTCACTCCAAGCAATTCAGTCTAGGACTATTTACATGACCTTTTAGATCAAGGCAGCTATATTTATTGAAAAGATGTTAAATCAGAAAATTGAATTCGAACGGAAAAGACTGTGTTACACGGTTGACACTTATGAGAGATAAGTGATTTAAGTGTTTTAGATAATAAGTAAAGTAAACTTAAATTTTATATGCAAGTACTATCAAATTTAAATAGAGTTTAATTGAGTGAAAGATGAAAATCATGTTTATAATAATAAAACTGGAATTTATTTTTACATACAATTAATCTCGGCCTCCCATCAAATAATTGATCATTATTTAGTTATATATGTATAATTTTTAAAAATTGAACTCCAATATCAGTGCATTATGTTTGTTAATGTTTTACTAAATTTTTGGACATACTGATTTCACGTACGCAACATAATTTGCGATTCAACGTTCTTTGGTATCAGACGCTCATATCAGTTCTTAGTTCTTATTAGACATGAGTTTAAAGAAGAGTCGGCAACCGAGACCTTTCTCACTTGGAGGTATATTCACTCTCTCAAAATGCGTTACTCTCTAATTTTTAGAGAGTACATTGCGTGCTTTTTTTATGAGCCGTAGAAGCTCATGGAAAATCTTTGTATTATACGACGCAATATATTGCAAAGTTAGTATCATTTTGATGTCAACAAAGTCAGCAAATAGCCCTGCTGATGTTGAAAGACCACACATGAAAATCTGCAATACCAAAATTAATGGCGTGTTGCCGGTTTTTAAGAAAGAAGTAAGCTCTTTTAATACAATTTCTTAGTTGTATCGGTTCGAAACAAACTTACTGTACCACCAGTAGTTTTTGTGTAGTGGGAAATTCCTAGAAAAACGGTACGTTAGTGGGTTACCAACCATAAAGATGAATTAGATGGAATAAAATTGCCTCGGAGCATTCCATGTGGTAAGCTGGCATTGCAGTGTGGTGTAGCCCAGAGAAGAAAACAGTATTTACTCTTGAAGCCAAACTTGCGCCTTACAAATTCGGCATGAAATACTCTCTCGTAGTGCTTAACATGGCTAGGTTCTTAAAGGTCTTATAGGCGCCAATTTGAAGAGCAAATTTGCACCAAATTGTAGGCATTGGACATTGGACGTCACTCGTTGTAACACCGCCGAAGATTCGCTCTGAAGAATATATATATATATATATATATATATATATATATATATATATATATATATATATATATATATATATATATATATGATGTAGCCCAAAGACATCTAAATTTATGCACGATTAAGAATCGAAGATGCGTTGTCACCCCTGAAGACTACGATGGAATGCCTTTTTTCCCATAAAAAGGGTATCCGGTTCTCTACACTCACCATATAAAACACAGCAGCATTAAGCTGCTATTTTACGCTGGTATTTAATAGGCAGACTGTAAGTTTGTTTGCCACTTCAGGTAATAAAAATTCCCTTGTACGAGGCCTATGTTCAACAGTGGACTTTAGTTAGGTTGTAACGGTAAATAACAAATACACGTGTTCGGTGCAAGTTTTTATACACTTAAGACTTCATTAAGATGTAATAATGTGGTGTATATGAATACATACGTAGGATCAGTTTGTCCTTACCTTTAGACTTTTAAAATCTTTTTGTTGTGATGTGATCATGTAACATTTCATATATATGAGCAAAAACAAATGTATGATAATTCGAATAATCACGTAAATATGTTTTTTTTTGTGTTTATGTTAGTTAGTCTGGTACTTAATATGTTTAAAAATAATCAGTGTATTGCATAAACTACTTAGTCAATTTGGTTGAAACAAATTGAAAATCGTGGTATATAAACTATTTATATTTTACTTTAGAACAATAAAAGTCGAGGTACCACGTGCACATTTTATTGTAAGAATGCACTCTCGTACACAAATTTATCTAATATAATTTGCAAACAACAAGGTTTTAGGTGCATATGTGTACGTTCAGCGGCGAGCTTTTACCGGCTCATAAATAAAGAGAGACGAAATGTGAATATTTGCGTGAGCGCTCTATATTTCTTAGTTGTTCTTAATTAATGACAAATAATGTGACCGTTTTCATGTACTATTTTATTTACTAAACTACTCATAATTTTAAATAATATTTAGTATCAGCATTTGTACATGTTATAATTTCCAAAACATGTTCTTACAATGCCCACAGTTATGTTTTAGATAAATACTAGCTAGGTCACGCAGGCGTAGTTCTGCCCTCTCCGACGACCATTTGTCCTATAAAAAATCCTTAAATTCTTAATAAAAATATTGAGGCTCACTTATTGGGATAAAAACTATCCTATTTTTCAAGTTGGACCAAACTGCACACACACACAGTGTGCAAAATTTGATTGAAATCAGTTCCGTAATTTAAGAGTTCATCACGGAGAAACAATGTAACACGTAAATTTACAAAAAGCTTTTTTTTTTAAATTACAGTACCGAGTAATTAACTTAAAATTTCTAAAAACTACTCAAGGACATTTTCTCTTGTCAATTCAAACTATTGAAAATACATTATAAGTTTGATCATTATAGTTCATAAAAATGCCCATTTAACTTAATTATTGATTCAAAATTTTCATTAGAAACACAACAATAAATGTAGTAATACTAAAAATTATTTACCCCGTAAATAATTTTTAGTATTGCTACATATTTCAAAATGAAGTGTATTTTAATGTATGTTTATGAGAACATTTCTTTTTAATTTATATTTAAAACGCTGCATGCAAAAAGGTCAACAACAATAGACGGTGCGAGAGACACGATTTAGAAAATAAGTTATGTGTGAACAAGCTCTCGGCTTGCTTAAATTTTTGTAATTGTAATCCTACATCGAATTTAGTTATTAACAATTTACAATAATTACAAGTTAATTAGAAAAATTAGACACGTAGTACTTAAAAAAACACTATCTAATGCACTTTCTTACTACTAACACACCTACATGTGTTCTGGATCTATTTGTGCAATTCACTTTTTTTTTTAATAAATAAATGGTGTAAAATAACAACTTTTATTATTCATATTTATTTGATAGTGGCGTAACAATGAGGGCTAGTAATTTGCCGGTCATCAGATGTCGCTAGTTGACTCTGAGGTGAAGTTTTTTTGTTACGTACATACATACCATGGAGGTTATGCATTCTTTGACTTGCTCTGACTACAGTATATACAGGGTTACTGGGAACTCGACAAAGCATCGTACCTTTCATTTTAGACACGAAGGCACGCTATCCTCACAGCGCACTATCAAAGCTGGTGTCCCTCAGGGCTCAGTACTTGCTCCTTTGCTGTACATCCTGTTCACCAACGACATTACCATCCCGTCGAAAGGTGAACCCGGAGAAGAGCTCCGCCGTTCACTTCGATTATAAACGACGCCGTCTCAAAAACACTCCACCAATACGTATGCTAGGGACCCCTGTCCCCTGGCATACGTCCGCCAAATATTAGGTGTCACTCTAGACACAGGGCTCACTTTCAGGCCCCACGTCAAAAGAGTAACCCATCACGCACGTTTTTACCTGAGTAGGCTCAACAATATGTTGAGCCGACACAGTAAAATGTCCCTTATAAACAAGCGTACCCTTTATAAGGTCTGTATACGACCAGTCATGTCCTACGCGGGCCCCGTCTTTGCCCACGCCGACCCTAAAATTATTAATGAACTCCAAATAGTTCAAAACCTTTTCTGTCGTCGAGCTGCGAACGCACCTTGGTACGTCCGTAATGCCGACCTTCATCGGGACCTAGAGCTCCCCACAATTCAACAATTTCTCAAAAAACTCTGAGAACTTCTTCAAAGCCTCAGAGTCGCACTCAAACCATTTAATTCGTGAGGCAGCTACTTATGCAGCCCCACCCCCCTCTCGCTATCGAGTCCGCAGGCCGAGAAACTCTCTCTCGGACGCGCCTAATAAACTAACAAACGACCTGAACTGCCTCCTGGCGGCTCAGGCTAACTCTAATTAAATTAAATTATTTACTCACTCATAATTAATTTGCCTTCGTAGGCACTCCCTCAGCGGCCCGTAGCCGCCTGCGCCCTCTTTTCCCAAAAGAGAGTCGCTCACGATAAGGCACACTAAAGCTTAATCAGCCAGTTGCCTGTCCCTAAAGGCGGTTTTTAGAGGGTATCACTTAGGTCCCCGGTAGGATGTGAGTCCCTCATAACCACGATAGACCGGCTATCGTGGTATGCGTAATGCATTTTCCGCCTCCCTACTAGGCATGTCGATCTAAAATCGATTAATTGAAAAATCGATTCTTTGGAGTAAAATTATCGATTTTTTAGATCGATTCGAATCACCGCATCGATTCACTGAATCGATCCAAAAACCTATTGAATCGGACTGATTCATCTGATTCAAGAACTAGCTAAAATTCCCAAACTGGCTGGGGTAAGATACCACAGTTTTTTAATTTTTTTTGTTGTTGGGGGACGCAAAAACAACCGGTCGTACTTGGTTGATAATTTGAAAGCAATATATATTTGATTAAAATAAATGTTTATAAACGCATCCAACAATATCGAAAAGTTGTCATTTCATTTTCATTTCTAAAATTCTTAAGCCCACTTTCCACTAAGGGATATAATGTAATTTAATATTACATCTCGAGATATATATTAATATCGCTCACCGTACTTTTAAATAGAACCGTTTCCACTGAGGTGTAATTTATATTACATCCCAAACTATAAATATTTTTTCGATCGACCGAGCGATATTTTTATATTATATTTCACCTCCTGTGCTATAATATAATATAATATTATAGCTGTGACCCTGTTTGAACTGTGAACTTGTGAATTTACATTATTTATTATCAAAAATATACATACTGTGAGCTGTAAGTACAGACAGAGTACTTTTTAAATACCTAGATACTGTAAAAAATATTATACCGTACGTTGAAGTTTATAGAGGTTTATTGTAAGGAAATAACCAGTATTGTGTTCGTGTAGCATTCATTTCAATATGATAAATAGTGAGTTATTAGATTGAAACAGATTTATCGAGAAATGTACGTTGCAGTTTGCACTTTTGTAAAAGTATTGTTGTTGTTTTTAGCCTAAAATGTCAAATAAAAGTGTTACGTGGAATCACTTTGTAAAAAAAGGGATCGAGTGGAGTATGTGCGAACCACTCCTAACACAAGCGTTTCAAGCTTACCAGGACTGGTTAAAAGGAATATTAGTAATGTTAATCAATAATGTATTATTTTAAAAAAAATATTACAGTTTAGAAGTTAAAGAAAAAAAATTGAAAATTCTTGAAATTTCATGTTTGAAAATGTCGCGATTAATCGAAAATCGATCTTTTATTCCTCGATTTAATCGATAATCGATTCAAGTACCTTCGATTCAAATCGATTCAGAGATCGATTTTTTTTAAGAGTGAATCGACATGCCTACTCCCTACGTATAGGGTAGCCCTTTATTTGCTTCGGGCGCAAAAAAAAAAGGAACTCGACAACTATCTGGCAGGGCGTGATGGTGGGGAGTCAAAATGTTACAAATTTGACCCTCTATATGTACGGCCAAAAATGAACAGGTATTGAGATATACGGATTTTAAAGATTTTTCAATAATCACCCAGAATCTCACATTAAATTCTAAATAAAAATAAAAACTTTTTTGTACGTTTTATTTTAAGTTTTGTTTTTGAAGCTTCAAGCCAGAGAATACAATCATTAAAAACTATGGGTCTTAATAATTTATTTTTTCTTATTTTTACACTTTATTTAAAAAATTGCTGTGACATGAGACAAAAATATTTTAAAAAAACATGCCCAAAAAGATAATAATATCTCGGTGAAGGCATCAATCTCGGCGCATCACTATTCGACTGCTGCTCTAGGCTACGTGTTATATGCCTACCGCTCACCGTATCGCCCACGATACAACCGACGTATATATACAGTAATTATGAACCGAATTGGGCTGCCGCATGCCCGCCTGAAGGCTCGCACCGCGCACGTTTCCCGCGCTTCGTCGAAATGCCAAAACAATGTAATTATTGTGCAGTGGATGGGTGTAAAATTCAAAAAACAAATGAAAAACTCTTCTTTTTTTCGTTGACTCATGTATCAGAGTATTTATTATATAAGAGTAGCAAAAAAAAACATAACTGCACTAGCTTCAATGCTTTGTTACAGAACCCTCATATTGACGAAACAACACTGTATACTCATTTCTAAGCTTTTAATAAAGATTCATCTTTTTATGGTGGGCTAAAAGTCCCATCAGAACCGTTTAATAATTATATTGAAGAGTTAGAAAGAGCATTCTTAAATAATTTTGACAACGTCATAACCATTGTTTTTCCTCTGCTTTGCTCCTGTTTTCCTTATGATTATTTCTATTTGATAAAACCTAAACATATTTGATTGACAAATAAAAAATATTGTTAGTATGTATGTATTTCGCAACATTCGTTTTATTACAATAATCATCATAGGTATAACCCTAGCGCATTCGCGCGATGACGCGCTTGCACGTGAGTCGCACGCCGGACAACACAATCTCGACTCTTCGTGCGCGTACTTACGGTACATTTTCTTCCCGCTGCGAGCAGCAGATATTATTACTAAGATTTTGTAGGCTATTATAGCGTAGGTATTTTCGCTTTTGTAAGGGAGATGTATCTGTTGGTAAACTATTTATTAATCTGTGTTACAGACCACCCAGCCTACTAGGCTGGTTGGTTTGTGGCTTTTACTATGTATCGGTATTTAAAGAACATCTAATTACGCTTGGCATATTGTGCAATGAACGATGCGCGCGCTTTTTTTTTCTTTTTTTTTGCGCCCGAAGCAAATAAGGGCAACCCTCCGGTAACGGGGGAGGGCGGTGGTGAATGCTCATAGCATACCACGCAGCCGGCTGCGTGGTTACGTGGAGACTTTTACCCACTAAACACCACTTTTTTGGTTTGGCTTACCGATCTGACGAGAGATCTTTAAGCCGTATACGAACGCGACCCTCCTTGGCAGAAAGGAGGGCACAAGCGGCGAAAAGCCGCTTAGAAGTGTGCTTAACTAAGGCTGATTAAGGGATGTGTTAAGTAGACTCGGTCTGAGCCGCCAGGAGGCAGTTCAGGTCTGCCGAAAGCTTGTTGGGGGAATGCGCGCGCTCTATACCTTGCTTATTTATACTCTAAAGCGGCTTTCAGACTACGCTATAATGTAATAGCATATCCCTTTATAAGGCTCTGTCCATATTTTGGACACCATCATTTTTAAATGTTTGCGGCTGAATGAAACGTCAGGCAAATTAAATGTTTGTACTCTGTGATTTGACAGTTTGTTAGCAATAACAAAACGAAAAAAATAAATAAAATCTATGGACGTCATTTCTCGGTATTCGGGTTATCCAACTTCATCTTCGTGAAAAATGAATAGAAAGGTAAGTTTTATTTTAGAAGATGTTCTAAATATTTTAAATATGGTATAATTGTCTTGATTGTAGTCATTACTTTCATTTTTCAACGGAAATTTCGAAAAATTATGACGTCCATATATTGGACAGAGCCTGTTGGCCTGTCCGGCAAGTGCACTTTTGAATAAACTGCTTTTATGTTTTTTCCTGTTTCAGATAATACAATTAGATAAACTTGAGGCAACTCTAGAGGAACTTTTTGGCTTATCGGAAGATGAGCGTTCGGAAGATGGTTACGAAAGCGACGAACGGGAAAATGAGGCGATTTTCACGCAAACAGGTCAAGAAGAACTCGAAAATATTTTGAATTCTCCGTCATCTTCTAGAAGTTGCTGTCAATTCGCCTATACTTATACTATCCGGCTTCAAAATATGGATGCGGTGTGATAGCAACACAGGCTATTATAAATATGAAATATATACTGGCAAAAAGGACAACGAAACAGAGTTTGGATTGGGAGCTAGTGTAGTAAAAAGTCTCTGCAAGGCACTAGTGGAAGAAAAGATGGATAATGTTCACGTTGCATTTGACAATTTTTTTTCTTCAACTGAGCTTATGCAGAGTCTATTTGAACAGAACATATATTCGACAGCGATAGTCCGGTCTGACAGAACCAATTTACCCAAGAGATTGAAAAAGCAGGCTGCCAAAAAAAGTGAACCAAAACTAAAACTTAGTAAAGGGCGATATAAGTGGAGGGTCAACAAAAATGTTAGTTTTTTTTGTTGGATGGATACTAAGATAGTCGATATTCCTAGTAGTGCCTACCATCCAAAACAAAAAGTGTTATGCAAGAGGACACAGAGCATTTAAAGATGGCAGTAAGCAGGAGGTGCCATGTCCACTGGGAGTAGTTGAATATACGAAGAGGATGATATGTGTGGACCGCTTCGACCAAAAGCGTGGCACATATCAAGTGGCTAGGCCAGAGTTCCCCAAACTTTTTTGTGTCGTAGACCCCTTGCCATGTTTTTCCGTATTGGGTAGACCCCCTACTTAACTGATATTGATTTCCTGTAAATTTCTAACTGTAGTGAAGTTTAGTGTTAAAAACTTAAAGTAAAAACACATGTTAATTTATACATTTATTAATGGAATTTAAATTAAAAGTACTCAAAATAAAATTTTGTATCTGTTATGTAAAATATACGTAGCATTAAATAAACATAAAATAAACTATAAATAATAAGCAATAAGTCAATAATTTTTAGTGAGAAGGATGAACCTGATGCTTTAATAATAAATTATCAACATTTGGCGTTCTATATTGTAAGGGTTAATCTTAAATCTCCTCGGCTAATGATGTCCAGTCTGTTTCTTTTTTCGTTAGGAGATTGGTAACAGCGCTGAACCTCCTTTCCACTAGGTATGACGATGGAAAGGAAATTAAAAATTTCCTCGCTATATTCCATAATACGGGATAAGTAACGGGTATGTTGTTTTGCAGCCAGAATTGCTGATATCCGTTTTTAAACTGAACCTTAAGTTCTTCGTTTGTACTTAGTTCAGTCAGTTCCTCTTGTATTACGACATTCGTTTCTTCTATGTCACCATATGGATTCATTATCCACAGTGGTATTACCATAGTCAAAATATCCTCAAACCTAGATTCAAAATCTGAATAGAGAGCATTTAAATGTTGAACGTAAGTTGAAACGTCGTCTTCCTGGCAGCTTGTCTGTGACAAATTGGGGAACTGAGAAAATTCGCCCCGTCGAATGATTTGCTTCATTAGTTTAACTCTGGCAAGAAACGCTGATAAGATGGACCTTGTTTTAATCAAATTTTGAACTGTCGCCTTGTAATTTCAAATTAACCATATTAAATTTTGTAAACAAATCTGTTAAATAGGCGATGTCTGCTTTCCTCTTCATTAAATTTTCTTTTAAAATTTTATCTTTAGTATCCAGAAATTCTAAAATAGTCTCAAAAAGTGCAAAAAATCTTATCAAACATAAGCCTTTCGAAAGCCAGCGTACTTCAGTGTGAAGGAGTAATTGATGAAAGTGTTCGTCATTTTCTTCACACAACTGCGCAAATAACCGCGTATTCAACGCGTTGCTTCGGATTCGGTTTACTACATCAATGACTAAATGAAGTGATTCATGCAATCTAACACTCATTAGCAACTAAATGTTATCGATGGATGACGCAATGTATTGCTAACACCCCTGACACATTTGTTATAAATAGCTTATAAATCCACGATAACGTCCAACCATGGTATGTGCTCCATCTATAGCTACTGATATTATATTTGATAAAGGAATTGCTTTTTCAATGAAGTAATCCTTCAAAACATGAAATATTGATTCACCTTTAGTGTCGGTTATCAAAGTTCTTGCGAAGAGCAGTTCTTCGTAGATTTCTTGATTCATAATAAAACGAACATATGCCAATAATAATGCTGCATTATCAGGTAAAGTTGACTCGTCCAGTTGTATAGAGAAATGGGTCGTTTGCAAATAATTACATAAGAAGCTTTCAATATCAGAACTCATTTCATCAATACGTCTTTCAACAGTATTGTTGCTTAAGAGAATTCTTTTAATGATATCAGATGCAGGTTTGTGTAAAACAGTTTTTAAAACCTCTTCAACGGCTGGCAAAATTAACTTCTCTCCGATAGTATGCGGTTTTCCGGATTTTGCTATAAGTAACGAGATATTGTAAGACGCCCGCAAACCATCATCATTTCTTTGTGACGTCGAAGCGAACATTCTGTCCAGTGTAGGTCTCTCCTGAAGTTTATCTTTGAGTGTTTGAAAGTATTTCAAATCTTTCTCTGTTTTATCAGGGTGGCATCTTCTCAGATGATCTTGCAGTTTAGATGGTTTCATAGCGTCATTGCCCAAAACTTTGTTGCATAAAAGGCACATAGGCAATTGTTTGTCCGGTAATGATGGAATGGAGCCAAATTTCGAAAAATCGACACTGTACTGTCTACATTTCCTTTTAGATTCGGACATGGCATCAGTCATCTGTGGGCAAAATTAAATTATTTAAATAAGACAGAAAATCCAGCAGCTGTATATTAAAAATATTTTTTGATTTTTCCGAAAACATTCCATAATTCGAACATCTTCTTGCAACAATTAGCTCGAATTACGGGGATTGCACTGTAATTATAATACCGATTGCTAAAACTTTCAAAAAGAAACTATTGAGGAGTACTAGTGTAATTTTGCATGATTGAATATTAAACTACTAATAACTAAAGTCATGATTGGCGTAATTTATCTATCTTTGCTAACTACGAGTACAAAACTAAAATTTAATAAAAAATAATGTACTTACTTTTCTCCAGCACTCTCAAACAAAATAACACTGACTCACTATAATTTGTGTGATATACTATCTGTTTATATTTTTTTAAATATTTTCTTAGCACTTTCCTTTTCAATATCCAGGAAATGAATCTTATTAAAATATTTTACGACTATAAATGACGAATTGAACAAGTCAGTGCAAGGTAGCGAAGCTCTGAGACTGCGACTCTCAGTTTTTTACAAGTTCAAAATGTATTGCGACCACAAAGCGAATACCAACATCCTACAACTTACACAATTTTATAAACATATATAATAATTTTTTTACTTAATAGGTACTTTTATAAATAATGTATATGTTTTGATATTATAAGAAAGTATGATGTAAGTAAATAGGTACTATCAGTGTATGTGTTGAGATCCACTATCGTGGACCCCCATTTTCATTTCATGGACCCCCAAATTTTTTTTCGCTGACGTAGACCCCTTGCAGTTCGTCATAGACCCCTACGGGTCGATATAGACCACTTTGGGAACACACACTGGGCTAGGCGAAGTCGAAGATGGTGGATGAGGATATTTTATTTTATAATAGATGCTGCCATCACTAACGCATATATTTTATACGCTCAAAGAATGCGATACCCTATGACTAGTTTGCAGTTCCGCACAATGCTGGGAAGGAATTTGATTGGTTTTTTCAGCAGTAGGAAGAAAAAGGTGTGTAACTTTCCATCATTTGTTTGTAAAAAACAAAAACTTGATAGCCGACATAAAGCTAAGTATGGTCTCCCAGACGATCTGCGGCTAACAGATGTAGGATCTCATCTCAATGGTCCACTGGAAAGTTACAGAAGACGCAGAGCTTGCAGTAGCAAGGAAAACAGCAAAAAATCAAAAATACAGTGCATCCGCTGTGAAGTTGCCTTGTGTGTGGTCCCATGCTTTGCCAAATTCCATAGGCCCTAGTAAGGCTCTGGCCAAATAATGGACACCATGTTTAAAAAAAATTAAAAAAAAAACAACTCATATTCTTAATAAAGAGGTCCTAGTTATCATATTTGTCAATTTTTTAATTCCATACCCTTAGCAGTTTTCTGTGCCTTATAGTAGGGATATAGTATATAGCTCATAGCACAACAGTATCGCGCACCATACACTGTTATGGACACGTTCACACTGTACTGTACTATATATTATTGGCTTACTATACGACTAGGGCTAGTTAGGCAGATTACGCTATACTATATAGCACAATATTATAGCTTAGTCCGAAATTAGCCTGAAGTTCTGAGCAATCTCATTATTATACTCTTTAGTGGGGTCTACAAATTTAGAAAAAAAAGTCCCATCGGCACAGTTGAGGCTTGACAGATTAAGGGATAGAAAATTTATTAATTTTTTGTGTTTGATTAATAAACATCGTTTCATAAATTCGTACCAGAGTTGAATAAAATTTTTTATACGTATTTTATCGCGTTTAATTAATTCCATGGGTCACAAGGGGGAGGGGGGGGGGTCTGAGTTCAATTACTCCTAGTGGAGATACATGATATACTTAATCTATGATGTTTTTAAGTTTTCCTTTTTTATTACGTCTTTGTACATATTTAATAATATATCATTTCACCCACACACACAGATACGCGAACACACACCCACTATAATTAAAAATTCTAGTATTTATAGAACCCCTGCAGACGCTTGGCATAATTCTCTGCTTAAGGAGTAAGTGTTCTGCGGGCATAATGGACAATGAGCGATACGCGCGCTCTATATCTAAGGTTGAATACATGAAATTCTCTCTAGTACGCTGTTTAAATTTAAGTTACCAAAAAAATAGGTAGTGGTTTATTACAACAAAATAAAACTAGCGTTCCTTCGAGCTTTATGTTGAGTGTGAGAGGGGCCCCATCCGATCAATTTGTCACAGGCATTTAACGGTGCAGTTACGCCACTGTTGCGGTGGCGTACAAGAATCCACTACCCCATACCGTCTTGTGGGTGTCGTTAGAAGTGACAAAAGGATATAAAACTGAATGAAAAATTAACAGCAGTAATGGCAGCAACTGAATAATAAAAAAAACTGCGGTTGCCAATCCGCTTGTAAGTGTGGC